ATATTTGTCATACCTAAATGTTTCACAACATCAAAGAAATGTTATTACTAAACAAAGATAACCCAAGTAAAAAATAAAGTGCAGATTCTGAATTGTGTTTTAATTTATTAAGGAAAAAAAAAACTATCCAAACCTGCCTGATCTTATGTGAAAAAGTATTGGAAGTAAGTTTTGGAACGCTGAGGTCACTTTCACCCGATTATTGGCAGACCAGCTGAATCAAGAAATCACTTAAAACCTGTCTGACAAAGTGAAGTCGCCTAAAAGGTTGCTAAAAGCATCTCATGCTACAATCTAAAGACTCGACTAAGAAAGAAAGTCACTGACGATGATGAGAGCCATCATCCAGGCATTTAGAAATCTTGGAGCAGTGGGAACCTTTCCAGGAGTTGCTGGTCTACTATGGCTACTCTGTGATTGACAAGTCATCCAGGAGATGACACAAGAACACAGAACAACAGCTTCGGCTGTATTAAGGAGTCACTGATTGAGAATCTGTTCTTCAGCTCATATCAAACAACACTTTGACTGCTCCATAGGCTGCATCCTAATAGTCCCTCAGCACGGCTGCACTTGTGATTTAGTCCGTAAATGGTAAACATAATTCCAGTGTTTAAAGAATAACAGGCTGTTGAGGGTACTGAAGTGTGTCGCCAGGAGAAAATAGTTCCTGTAGGCCAGATATCCTCCCGTGCATACAAACCAAATAGTCCGCTGCGCCCTGCAATCACAATCACAGCCATTAAATACCTGATTTGGTACAGAGTATACAGCAGAGGAAGCCGTGTGCTGTTCCTCTGGACGAGTGCAAGATTTTCTTTCTTGTCCCTAAAGTTCAATGATGTATGTGCATCGTGTTGAAAGTCCTGTTTGTCAGTCTACTGGCACATTAAACCAGACTTTCCATTTCCATTCCTGTTTTGGCACAAAATGCTTTTTATATTCATGCTCATTTTGAGAAAGGGAGGAAATACATTTACATCATCCAGGACGTCAAGCAATGTTTGAAAAAGATAAACGGTTTGGGCAGGAAGAAAGTCCGAGTGTCAAATTCAAAAACTAGGCAGTGTTGTCCTTTTCTTTCATGCCAGCAGAAAACCAGCTTCCTGTCACTTTATTTTGTATACTAACATTATTAGTATGACCAGATAAATCAGCGAGATCATTGGTGGGATGCTGCCATGTCCCTGAATTACTGTTGTGTATTTACTAGGTAATAAATTTGGCAGCAGGAGGCTGTTAAATGCTGACTTTCACCTAAGAGCTGCTGGTGGTTGGCATCTGATGTGATCTCTCCATCTTACTGTGGACAGACCGTGATACTGTGCTGCAGCAGCAGCAGCTGATTTTCCGGTTTGCTGACCCCTTTCTCCAGGGAATCCTACATATTCTGTCAGATCAATACATGTAATCAGTGCTGATAAATGGGAGAACGCTAGCTGTTGTTTCTCAAGGACATGTCATATTGGAGTTCCAGCTCTTGAGGCCTGAGCTTCTTATGCTGGTTATTAGAGAAAAGATGCAGCAAAATGTAACAGCGAGTCGTGTTATATATGGTATTAGAATAACTGGTTGTAAAAGGTGGGTGTAGGGGGAAGCTATGAATTATGGAGAGAATTTGTCTAAGAGTTTGAGCTCTGTTCTCTCAGGATGAGGCAACGGCAAAACATCAGCCATGCAATTCAAATAGCTCATAAGGTGGAGGTAAAAAGGAGAGACCATTAAGGCCAGCAGCCCATCGGCTCTCAGCATCCTATTCATCGTGCAACAAAGGCCGAGCAAGCAGGAAGAAAAGCAACATGAAACATTTTTAAGTGGTTCTGCCTAGTGGGCACTTTAGAGTGGACAGGAGGGAGGGCGATGAGGCTGGCCATTACAAAGCATCATGAATTCTGTCCTCAGGGCAAATGCACGAGTAACACATTATAGACAAAACGGATGGAGGGCTCCCACGTGAAGGGAGAGAGAGAGCAGCGTCGTACGAGTGCAGGACGGGATAGG